TTTCCCTATGATTTGTTTCATTAGGGCTCTGGTAATGGCCTAGGACTGTGCCACCGTGTATTGTCATTTGCCATGAAACAATGATAATTTGTAAAATGTACTTGGGAGATGCAACTGTCCCACCAGCTGCAAGCAATCCTGTATCCCACAGTCATATGCAACTTTTGTAAACAACATATTGACACTGGAAAATAAAATCCTTAGAAAGCAATATTTTCAAAGCTTCAATAAATAAAAGTTATGAAAAATGACATTTGTATTAATATACATCTTACTATGAACAAATCACTTTGAATAACCCTGTTTAGTTGTAACTCATCATTTCACATTTTACTTTCAGTACAATGTAGTAGCATTTTAACTACACATGCAAATTTTTTTTCTTACCTTTAAGGAATCAAAGCAGGCAATAACTCTTCCATTTTCAACCTGGCAACTTTTAGGGGGGTGTGCAAATTTGCATTCTTCATCGGAGCGTGAACAAGTTCCCCTCTGAAATTGCCTGCACACTTCTAATGTTAGCCATTTTGTATCTCTTACAGGAGCAACATTCAAAGCCATGATGAAAGGCTGATTTCAAATTTGTAAATTGCTGTCAAGTGAATTATGCCAAAGAAATTTCCAAAACTAAAGATGAAGGGAAGGGAGAGAAAAAGAAAAAAAAAAACCAAAACCAAAAAACCCCCAAAAAACCAACAACAACAAAAAAAAAACCACAGGAAAAAAATTTCAATTCCAATTGAAAAGAAATTTTAAAAAAGTGAGGGATGATTAACGATGTCCAACGCACACAAAGCAGAATAAATAGAGAAAGTTTATCAGCAAGCAGTCACTCATCAATCATTAAGTCCCACTTGTAGACTTTTGGCTGGGAAAAACCATGCTCAGTCGCATTTCTATCTGTAAAACACATGGGCTTGTGGATTGTATCACGGATGCACCAGTTTTAAGCCAAGGTCCTTCAATGCAGTGGCACTCCTTGATAGAACAGTAGTTCTCTGATGGTTGCTTGCTGGTATTGATTACACAAGAAAAGCAACGCAGTCATTTGTTCATGTCCCAATAATAGTAAGAATTATTCTTCTTCCTCTTTTTCTGCTTTCAGTTTCTCATCAGTTAATTGGCAAATGGAGACATCTGAGGTATCTTCCACCAGGTGTAAGGTGAAGGCAATGTCTGGCTGGCAAAGACGGGATTTTGAGAACACAGGTGTAGCAGTCCTCGCTCATAAAAGTGACTTGACAAAGGCACTTTTTAAGTCACTGACCTGACAAAACAAATACAGTATCAGTTCACATGCAACTCATTCAAATCAGTATTATGAAACCTATCATCCCTTTTTATCAGCTATTATAAACATACTGGCAATGCTCACTTGTATTTCTTTTTTCCAAGCAAAATCAGCCTCCTTCATGAAGTTACATGTGACAAGGGAATAACCAGTTGAAACACGTATTGCAGTAATATTCTAGGCAGCAATCCAAAAGTTGGGAATGATTTAAATAGATGAATGTGGCAGACACAATAATTAGGCATGCTGGTTGTGAAACAATTCAATCTAATGTGCTTAGTCTCCAAAACAATATACAAGAAGCCTTTTCCATTAATTTATCATTTGGACCTTTAGATTGCATTACTGCATTATAAGCTGTTAACTGTTGTTTGTTCTTCCTTAGAAATGAGGACGGTAGTATTCTGTTCAGATCTGTTGTCTCTCCCTCTGTTTCTCAAGGGGAAAAAAAAAAACAAAACAAAAAATTGCCATTCCAAAATCATAGAGGAAAAAACCCTTCCATATCCAGAATATAGAGTCAGTTTCCCTGTTAAGCTAAAGGCTGTTTCCTAAAGGCTTCGTGAAAGGGCTCACCACTAAGTCATAATCCTCTAATGAGTTCTTTCTAATATGAAGCAGCCTTTATCTAAATTTTCCTTTGATTAAGTCAGCTTTCATGTACCTTTACAAATACATGCTTCAGCATCAAAATCTAAGATTTAAATATCGAACTTAAGCTATTTGGGGACTATGAAATACCTAAGACTTTTTCTAGATAAACAGATCTGAAAATCAAAGGGTTAGATATTACAAATATTTTTAATAAATGACTATATTTTATATGCAGACAGTAAAACCACAGACATGATGTTTCCTTCTATTCAGCTTCAAAGGAACACAACTTTCGCTGTGCAGACACCAGCCAGAAACAGCTGATGGATTATTTTTGTGCAAGAATAAAGAAAGGAGGAAGGACTGGAATAAGTGAGGTTTTAAAATGCATCAATAAAAATAGCTCTAAAAACACTGTCAGCTTTCCCATGCCAGAATAATTACCATTCTGTGCTTGGATTCATCCGATTTAATTGAAGTCAGTACTGTTAGTAACGCGAGTATGAATTACTCACACACAGTTTCAGCAACAGATCCCAGTTCCAACTTCCAGGCTTCACACGGGAAGTCTCTTCTATTCCTTAGTAATGCTACCAGAAAGGGTTTTACTACGTGGCCGATACCTGCACCAAAATTTGCTACTGCTACCATGAATAAAGGTAATGCAATGCTAATTGCTCAGTAATTCCATTTCAAGTCCAACATGCAATAAGATGGGTCTGGATGACACTTTGCTAGCTTTACCTGGTCATCAAGAGTAACGAGTTGCAAGAGAATTAGTACATTTTATTCTACACAATTGTAGTATATAGTACAGTACATAAATTAAATATCCCTCAAATTAAATACTCCACCAATGTTGTCCCACCGCATCAAAGAAGAGTGAGGGTAAGCTGAAAACGTATAAAAAGGTGAGAAAATACTCATAACTGATAAAAAGGAAAGAGAGAGGGAAAGACAAGGAAAGCCTCTCCACAAGAGCTTGTTGAGCTGATAGCTTGTTGGGCTGATGATTTAGCTGGCTAAACGTAAAAGAGGAAATATTCTCCCTAGAGCCACTCATTCCAATTCAGAAATGTCAGTAATGGTTTTCAGTAATAGATGTAGGAGACAGACGGAAATCTTGTGAAAAGGGTAAATGTTATACTGCACGCTGCTGAAAGTCACAAGTAGTAATACTCGGCCGGCCTGCATACTACTAAAATTGACAAAGTCGTTCCTCGAGCAGTAGGTGTTAAGACTGAAGAAAACCAGACATTGCACATGGCGGCAAAGCAAACAGCACACTATATAAACGGCAGTAGCCATGGTTTGAAAAAAAATGTGCACAAAAGAATCACATAGGAGACTCATGAGACTGCAGCGAGAATTAATACCAAACAGCCTTTGGAGGGTAGAAGAGGAGTGAAACACAGCATCATCCTATTTCCTATCTTCTTACTAAGAAAGGGAAGCATGAAAAGTTCATCTCAAAAATCCACGTCTTGTCAAAAATAACGACACTATCTGACTTCTCAAGAGGCACTGAGAGCTTCGGCAGTTTCTACTGCTGCAGGCTTAGCAGAGACAGAGCCGAGACCTTTCTGAAGGAGGCCATGCCTTCAGCGGGAGGCAGGGGCAAACATGGCGGAGACAGAAGAATTTGGAGTGCTTCATCCCTAACACTTACATGGCCCATGTGCTCACAACCATATCCCAAGCAGCTGCCATACCTCTTCTGCCCATCACCTGCACCAGGAGGGTGAAGGAAGAGATGCCACCTGGAAAGCCTAAATATGACAGGGAAGCAATACAAGGAGAAGGGAAAGGAAAGACAAACTGGGGAAAAAAAAAAATTATGGGAGAAACCAAGGAAAGTAGAGTTCAAGATATGAGGAAAGAGCTCAAGAGAAGGAAAAAATGGGAGTGGGAGGTAGGGGAGTTAACTGGATGGTTGTAGAATGGGAAGGAGGAAGGGAGAGGCTTCATAAGAACTGTGGAAAAAGTAAGTTGGGTGTGGAAGACAGACACAGGGAGGATGTGAACACTGGGGGAGAGAAGGGCAAGAAGGAATTTTAGAAGGAAAGCAGAAGAGACTATGGTTAGAGGAGAAAATCCAGTGTTTTGGGTAAACAGAGGGAAGTAAATGAGGGACAAGAAACGTGGGATTTACAGAAGAAATACAACACTAATAATAATCCTCAATAAAATGCCTCCCAGGCCACAGGCCATTACTAACATCACAGCCCGCCCCGACTTCGTGTTGCAAAACCCACTCAAATGAAGAACACCTGGGTCTCCAGCAAATGTGAACTCTGCTCTTCTCTCCATTACTTCTATTTGTGTCCCAACATACCAGCCAAAGTTAGCTGTCCTGCCAAAACCAACCGGATCTCACCAGCCTAGAGCCCTCAGCGCCAACGGGGTCCCTTATCCAGGCAGAAGGTTTGCTTTTTGGTTTGCTTGGGGGTTTTGTTTAGTTGTTTTGTTGTTATTGTCATTAACAATTCCATCTCAAGCCTAAAGTCCCCGCTGTAGCTAAACAAACTATCAAAACTTACACATTGACAACTGAGATACAAAATGTTCTTGATGAAGCCGGAGAAAGCACTCAACATAAGAAGTATAAAAGAACTGATTTTGTTTGCTTTTTTACAACTATTGCTGTTTATTTTCAGTCTCTCACACACTTGGATCAATGGAACTGATCCAGAATACATATCTACAAATGCAGTTTTTTGTATGCTAAGTGAAATAAATTCATGGACATGTACTTGTAGCTTTAGACCTCTCTTTTCAGATAAGCATTACTTGCCTTTTGCAGAAAGCTAGCAAGGCATGGAGGAGTAAGAGGATTTTGCCAATCTCATGTTCTCCTGA